TGATCCTTGAGAATATGAAGTTCAGTTGAATAATGAATATTGTAATATGAAGTGATCTTTATAAGTGATTTAAATACCACAATCCTGAACTCTAATATCATTCCATGAAAAAGAGTTGTGAGGAAAGTAAATTAAGGATTAGATGTGAAAGTACATGCTTATTTGATGATGAGGAAACTTTTCTGAAGGTTGAAAATGAAAGAGCAAGAGAGGGAGAGAGAGAGAGGAGGGAGATGTAGTCAAATGTCATTATGTCCCTTGCAGCCATTAACTGTACGCAGAGCATGGTAAGTAAATCACAGCTTCATCGTGAAAGTGAAGGTGCTGGCCTTCTCCACAGCAACACTTCATCAAGTACCACGGTCATTTCCTCATCAAACTCTTCACTCTGAATGGGAGAAAAAAAAATCTAATTACCAGCTTGTGCATGCGTGTTTGTGTCCATAAAATATGGCGAGTAACTCTTCAAGGGCAAGGTTCATTATCTTGCATCCTATATAAACGTCTTTACGTTTACTGTATATTATTTCAACTGACTGTCTGACAGTAATATATCCTCTATAAATAGTTTTCTTCATGTCCTCTTGTAATAGCTTTGCGGGAGAGCAATGACACTGCTCGTGAAGTTCAATGATTTTGTGCGTCTGAAATAAATCATGAACACCTGCATCATGAAAACAGTCTGAATAAATGTCTTAATTACACAGCACTTTATGCAAAAATCCTGATAATGTTCGTTAATTAAATTGGTAGTATGACCATCAAAGATTACTCCATTTATTTTATTGGTAATTAGTCACATAATAGGATGTATGAATGGTTACTTTCTGATATTTGATAAGTCCGCTTAGGCATTGGTAAACTGTTTGCTGCCAAGATGTTTTTCTGTACTCACTGGTCAGTATCAATAATGTACATTGCCTGATTCAGATAAACCTGATAGAAATCTAATTGTTAAATTATCAAGGTGGGTGGGGTGGCACGGTGGCTCAATGGTTAGCATATTCTGCCTGTATTTGCGAGGGTTTCTTCCCGGTACTCCACAGTCCAAAGAAATGCTATATAGTTAAATTGGGTAAACACAATTGGCAAATAGAATGAGTCTGTATGGCTGTTTTTCTATACACTGGATGGTGTATTGTTTGTGGTTGAAGGGCATCCACCACATAAAATATATGCCAGAGTAATTGGTGGTTCATTCCGCTGTGGTGACCCCTGATAAATCAGGAACTAAGCCGAAGGATAGTGGGTGAGTATAGTATCAAGGTTTTCACATTAAAATTAAGTATTTAAAAGTAGAAGGCAACTGACATGTAAAAATGTTAAGTAATAAAAACAGGTCCTCGTGCTTTTGTATGGGGCTACATTACTGTCAATATAGTCAGAAAAGCATCTTCTTTTTTTTATGTTTTCTTCTGAAAATCCAGCTCCGAATTGTGCCTTGTTTATAAACAGATCTTCAGTAAATGAAAGTGAACAATTGATGAAGATTTTACTGATGCAGTCTGGAACCTCATGAAAAATATATTTCATCTATATTTTCCAAATCCACTGCACAGCATGCTGTAGTCTGCTTTGTATCTTTATTGTTTAGTTTCTGCATATACTTGTGTTTGCTTGTTATTTACCAACTATATACTGGAATTGGTGGGTGGAGCTAATCAGGCAGTGATGTAGAAGTAGGCATTGATCTCCTTTTGTGGAAGTGGAGTTTAGACAGAATGTTACATAGTAAAGTCACATATTTAACAACCTGTAAATCTTTAACAAGTTTAGATAGATAGATAGATAGATAGATAGATAGATAGATAGATAGATAGATAGATAGATGATAGATAGATAGATAGATAGATAGATAGATAGATAGATAGATAGATAGATAGATAGATAGATAGATAGATAGATAGATAGATAGATAGATAGAGAAAAGGTTGAATACATTTCATCGGATCCACATTTCACATTTCAGTTCACTGCAGCCCTTTAGAAAGGGTTTGTGTTCAGAACCGCAGAGGCGTTCAACTACAACATTGTTCTTTACAGAGGAAGATCTAAATCCTTTGTGCCTGACAGTTACACACTCTTCTGCTTACACTCAGACAGATGGATTGTCTGTAGCCGAGCAGCAGTTATAGGAAACCGCACTGGATGATTACAAGAATCATCTGTGTAATATAACATCAGGCATTTGATGTTTGCCATTGTTTGACATGATAGTGAGCAGTTTTGCTAAGGCAGGTGTGTGAGAGTTTATTTATTCCCCGTAGACTCTATTGTGAGTTTGAGTGCTGACACAGGTGTGAATTTGAATGGAATCTAAATGTACTGGATACATTAAACATGTGGACAGTACGTTGTGCAGCATGAGCAGTAATAACAGATGCCTGCATGCTTTTACCACAGCAGGTACTTTTTATTCCGATGAATGAATTTCAGCTGTTTGCTTTATTTTATTTATTTATTATTTATATATTTAGATACACTATATGTACGCATGTTGTGCAATAAATAATGTCTAATTAAATGTATTAATATTAATATTGCACAATCAAAGAGTAAAATAAATTTTTTTATTTTCACGGTGGAAACGACAGACAAAATGGATAGAAATGCTAATGAATGTTGTTAGACAAATTAGTTAAGCTAAACTAATGAGCACTTTGTAAAAATAAAAACTGTTTTGATCCATAGAGTCAAAAGTGGTCCAAGCTGAGGAAAAACTCTTTGCCGCATTTTACATACCCAGCATCTCTTGCATCTGTTACTTAGTTTCCTCTGAGGGCTTGTGTAATTGGTCTATGAATTAACTTACTCCATGTTCTCTGAGACAGAGAATAAGTAGTTGAATTTTGATGAACAGTGGACTCCGGTCTCTATATTAAACCCAAGAGATTGCACTATCATTCCTATCCGCCTCATTAAACTATGCATGTTTTCAATAGAACCAAAAGGCAGAATTTTGCATTGCAGTAGCAGCAGCATGCAATGAATTTTAACACGGTACCAGTTGATACACTTTTAACAGGGACTCTGCTTAATAATCAATTATAATTGTTGTAGAGATTGATCAAACTGAGTTTTTGTCTTCATACAGATGCTAGAATATGGTCAAACAGAAGCACTGCACAGCTATTTGTAGATAGAACAAATGGCAGTAGTGAAAGAATAAATCATGTTATATTAAAGACCTAATATGTGACCTTTAATATGACATAAACGATCTAGATATCGTCTAAACACTGAAAGTTTAATCCTTTTAAAGTATGTATATTGCCAAAAAATGTTTTGAACAAACTGCTTTTATATATAGATCCTGTTTACATCTTGTATTAAGATGCATTTTGATTTAGCGGTTCACAAGCAGATGATGGAGATACGTTACCATTATTACCATTTATTTATATATATTTGAATCTGTCTCTTGCAAGTGTTCTACCGAAGAACAACTGCCTGATTATTTTGCATGTGTAATTTGGTAGATAAGTAAGTGCTGATGAAGGTTATGGATGTAACAGATCTCAAACCTGAGGGCATGGCAGCCCAGAGCGGCAAACACTGACATGCTGTAGGGAATTTCTAATGAGAGTCTCTGCGGTTTAACCTGTCTGTTTGGATAGATGAGAGCACCAATTTGTCCCGTTTCATTCTGTGATTGCTTAGTAAATCACTTTGCCGATGTGTTCTTTTCTATGACGACAGGACTTTCTGGCAGTTTGGAATAGCCAGAGGTAATGACGGCATCTTGACTGTAACCAAATGCAATTTATCTTTTACAAATAGCAATAATATCTTGTTGAGTGTTTCTTCTTTCAGTCGTCCTTCTGTAAATGTAATGCACCTGCTTTTGCAACGCACATAAAACTCTCTTAAGTGTTACATAAAGAGCTGATAAAACTCTTTCTTTGAAACGGAGTACTTCTAAGAACAGAGGAGACACTTTAATGAAAAGAGACAGCAATAGAGTCCATATGCATGCAAAAGTATAGCGTTAATCCCACCACACTGCCTTCACAGGCACATTTCAAAGCGCTGAATGCTTTTGAGAGTCTGACCCGGTGTGTACTGCAGATACTCATTTGCATGCTTCCACTATAGAGCCCAGATGTTAGAAAGGTACATGAAGAAAACAGCAATCAGTACTAAGTGGATCATATGGCACAATCTCAACATACCATTGCTTTTGCATTGCAGAACATCTAATCCTGCATTATGCATATCAACAAGACAAACAGAAGTTTACCATCTGCTACAGCAGTCTAGGTTTATGCAGAGCCACACTGTGATGGGATAGATCAGGCCTCAAAATCTTTGCTTAAAATGAGGTTGCATTGATAATTTTGGCTGTAATAAGATGCCAGCCTCTGCTACTAGTGATTTTAAATGAATACCTTAGGCAACAGCCTCGGCAGCTGATGAAATTCAACTAGGGTTGTCAATAAATACAGAATGTTATATTATGTCTTTGAATTAAAATATGTTTTTGAATGCATCTCTGCATTCTCTCTTAGGTTGAAAATTTATTGCCACTTTATTAGGTACCCCTTTTTGTCCAATGCAAACAGCCAATCACATTATTCAATGCATTTAGGCATGTAGATATGGTCAAGATGAACTGCTGCAGTTCAAACAAAGCATCAGAATGGGTTTGAAAGGTAATTTAAGTGACTTCGAATGTGCCATGGTAATTGGTGCCACACAGCAAATTTTGGTCTTTGGAATAAACTCCATAGGAGTTAAAATCGACTCAATCTGAGTGTACATGCGTGACCATCAAATTAACTCCAGTACAGAGTTAAAGTAACTCAATTTTTTTAGTTAAATTTTAACACATTTTTTTAGTTAAAATTTAACTCTTTTTGGAGTCAAAATAATACTCCTACAGAGAGTACTTGAAAACTATAAACTCCTTATGAGTGTTAAAAATCAACACTTTTTATGAGTTAAATGTACTTCACACAATATATATTTTTATGTGAAAATTATTACACTGAATGCTATACTCTTCACGTAAAGCTTTTATTTAAACAAATCCATACATTACTTTTAAAAGTTACATGCATGGACAAACTTTGAAATTAATTACCATTAGAAAATACAATCTAACAGCAATATATTTAATGTTAACAGAGTAAAAACTAGAAAGTAAACCTGTATAAAACCCTGTCAGCACATCACTGCATTTTATAAAATCAAGTTTGCAGAATTATATAAAAACAAAATACTACAGGATTGTGTAACCTGAGGTAGACACATATACATCAGATGAAGTAACAAGAACTTCGCAGTGAACACATTTCAATAACAAATCATATAATACAACTCTCTGACAAAACATAAAATTGTGAATCACAACCATATGACATTTGGGAATCAAAAGATTTGAAATGTCTTAATCTTTCCCTTTCTACAACAAGTACCTTTCTTGGAAGGTTTTCACTCACTTGAAAAGCATGGAAGTGATTATGGAAACATGTTTCATGCTCAATCAAAACAAAAAACACTTCACCATTATGTAAAATGATTGAGGTTATTTTACTGAAAACTGGTGTTTATTTGCAAGCGAAACAGTCAAATTTTTGAAGTTCTTCACAGAATCTTTAAAAAATTTGTGTTTTGCCTCAAATCTTATGGTCCAGATATGAATGAGTGGCCCGACCTTTCTAATACACCTTGGGTAATGCACCATAAAATGGTGTTTTGGAAGCAAGTTGTTTGATGGGTACAGTTCCTTAAAGAGTTTATGATGTTCATACATTTTGACATTTTGGTCAAAAAAATAAAATTAGTGCTTGTTCAGAAGCCTTGCTCTAAGCTCTTTGACTTTTGGAGTTTTCTCAGTTGTGCCTATATCGATATTGTACACAGTTGTCTGCACAAATGTGTACAGGCTGGACAGAGCATCATCATATTTCACACCGAAAACAAAATGAGATTTGAACAACTCGTCAAATGCACCCAAGGATGTGCATGATTGACAAGGCAGAATTTTTCTGTCCATGACAATGTAGAAGGTGGAAACCTGTGCTTTTGATGTCCCTGAGGCAAGAAGATACGGCTGAGGGTTTCCTTCAGTGGTCAGGAGATGATCATCTAGGCTTTGGCATGACTGAAATAACAAAAATGACCCTTTATTAACTATTTGTTTAAAATTAGGCATTAAATAAAATATTTAAACTAGAATAGTGTTGTTTTAGCAAACCTTATAAAATTTGACCAGATGAGTTGTTGCCTCTTCAACACTGATCTTCTTGGGCCGCTTTCTTCCAGCTGGTTGTGGAGTAAGTAGATGCAGCAGGATGAATAGAGAAGCCATGTCGCTGTCCTATTCTGAAGACAGAAAATAACAGTAGTTATTTCAAACCAGTCTGTTGAAAGCATTGATAAGTTAACCTTGTGTCTATTGTGTATCATAATATCTTACAAGTACAAACTGTTAGTGGGAAATTGTTGTTGTTGTGTGATAAAGACCAAACAAAGATTTTTAATTTCATATAGTTAATATCAAAGCCAATGAAACTTTTACATTCATCATTTTTTAATGGAAATAATTTATTTTGAACAGCTTTTACAAACCATGAATTTACTGATGATATTTTGTAACAGAATATATTTTAGAAAACAATTGTGTTGTGTTTTTAGCAGACATTTGGAGAATAAATGCTTTTGGTAAATAATCAAAAACTTTTAAAGTTACTCCACCTCACAATGGAAATGTTATCAATAAATCACGTCATTTAACCTATAAAATCTTTTTTCATTTTCATAATACATCTTGATATTTTGGATGAAAACCAGGAAGCTTGTGACTGATCCATTGACAGTCAAGTAATAAACTTGTCATAAACTTGTCAGGGTCCAGAAAAGTCAAATTCCATCTGAAATCAATGGTTTAGACTGAATTCTATGAAGTGTCAAGAACACTTTTTGTACCAAAAGTATTCTTCTTGCATAAAATCATGGTTGAACCACTGATGGCAGATTGACTATTTGACAATTTCTTACATATTTTGCTGAACTCTGCTAGTGAAATTTAGCTGGCAGTCAATGGGACAGTCACAAGTCTCCTGAATTTTATCCAAAATTCCTTTATTTAGAAGATAAACATAGTTATTATGAGTTTGGAACAACATGGGGTAAGTGATTAATGGTAAAAATCTTTATTTTAGAGTGGAGTAGCCCGTAAACCAGAAGACTGTTTTAAGTAAACTCATTGCTAATTTAACAATCACTGTACCTGGATCATCAGTTGTGTCAGAATCCTCCTTCAGAGCAGCTTTCAAATGCCGTTTTAGTAGAGCAGTCTCTTTAAGTTTCCTGGCCTCCTGGATGACTTTTTCTTTAAAACTGGTGCTCCATTTTTCCAAGAATCTTGAAGCAACCTCTACTCCAAACATCAATGAGAAGTCTTGCGAAATCTAATTTAAAAATAAAAAAAAACAACAGTTTAGACATTTATTGTGACTTAATGTTTTTTTATATTCAAAAAAAATATTTTTATTGAATATTTACCAGTCCTTTGACATCCAAGAAACGCGGGAACATTTGTAGTACATCAGCTGAGCGCTGAGGGTCATGGAGAATCTGTTGACGGTAGTGGAAAGTTTCTTTCATCTTCTTGAACACAGTGTCATGATCAGTTGTGTGATGGAGGAGTGACATAGCTTCCATGCATTCATCTCCCATTCGCTGGTCATCTAGAGCTCCAACTGTTCTTAATAATGTGGGACCTCCTTTTAGCTCCACTCTGCTCTGTGAGGTAGAGGAGGTTCTGGATTTACGCTGCACAGTCTTCATGCGCCACTCAAGAAAGCCAGTGTTACTCTGAATGTCATAGAAATGTTCCTGACAAAAAGCAGTATATTATGTTAGACAAAATAATACAATTGCAAAGGCTCAAGCATAAAAAGTTTATAGTTCGGTTGGAAAACTTACATATCCTTTCTTAGAGTATGGGTCTTTTAAGGTTGGGAACAGTGACACAATACCAAAGGCATGAAACTCTTTTGCTCCTTTACTAACAGCTCTTCTGCAAAGAAAAACATACGTCTTAAGATCATATTCTAATAAAAAGTATAGTCATATGTTCTTAAACTTCTTACCCTTCCTTTTCACGCATGTGAGCTACAATTATGTTCACCATTAACCGTCTTGTAGAATCTTTTAAGCTCCCAGTCTCTTCATACTCTTTAATCACAGTCAGCCCTGCAGGCTTTGAAGATAGAATTTGCATGATATTCTAAAAGAAATAAAACATTATATAGAAAAATAACAACCAAAATTAGACCTGTTTAAAAAAAAAACTTATCTAATAACAGGGCATATTTAATACTTTAAAATGCATTTATTTTTTGAACTGCAAGTTTACAGTATAACATTATCTAAAACATAAGTTATAGATAGTTTACAGATCTATCTGTATGGAAGTAAAAAAACAAAACAAAAAAGGAAACGTACATTTCTTGCATGGACACTGTCCAATAAAGGTTGAATTATTTGAGATCCAGAATCACTGCTGCTTAAACTGCTTGACACAGACAACGTATCGGTCAAACTTGGGGAGGAGGGTACTTCAACGACCCCTTGCTGCAGAACAGTCAGATCTGGAAAAAAAAAAATCACAAAAACAACACAGTATAAAACAATTAGGCTAATCTAGGAACTAATGTTGTGTAGTAGGGTGGATATTTCGCTGATAATTATATAATTACATATAACTCTACTTACCACAAGTAGTGACAGTAACATATTCTGTCTGATTGGAAGAGGCACCAAACTCTGTCAGGTCTGAGAAGTCTGTAGAGCCCTTTGATGTTTCAGCAAATGGAAGTTCTAAAATGCACAGTTTCACTCCAATTCAATCCGAGTCATAACACAAACTTTCAAAATCTTTAAAAAAAAATTATAATTAAAAAAAAAACCTACCATCATCAGTGTGGATGATAAAACACATTTCTTTGTTTGTCACAAGTTCTGGAAATACATCCTCATCCACTTCTATGCCATGGTCATCTGTGACTTTCAATGTTGTATCCTCTGGTATAAGAAACTTCTGCTGGACTACATCATAACACCAAAGTATAATTTATAAAATACATTTCAAAATTACTTTTATTATTATTGCTTTATATATATATATATATATATATATATATATATATATATATATATATATATATATATATATATATATATATAAGTATTCTTTATTAACTAAACATTAAACCTCACCTGCACTGTGAAAATCCAAGAAAGAGACTTCTTTCAGTTTAATATACTTCTTCTTGCCTTCAAATTGCACTTTTATCAACATCGTGACCTGTAATTTAAGAGATAAAATGACATTTAACAATTAATGTTGCTAAGAATGTTATATATATATATATATCTTAAAACGGCATAGTCTCATGCTCACGACTAAGTTACATCATGTTACAATCCAAAACATTACAAGACCAATATTGCACGTATCAAATCTTAGACATAAATACACAAACATGTATTGCTGGATATTAATGTTAACGTTCCCTCGTTAGCCTATTTGAAAGCTGAATAGCATGTTTCTTCATCTGCTCGAGCAATTCGATAGAATACAAAAAATACATGTTTTATGGAATTATCTGTCGTCTTTGACCCGACTCGTGGCCAAGAAAGTCTTACCTCCCTGACTCATTATCCCTCATCTTTCAGCTTCATAGCCATGCTTAATCAAAATAAGGTCATCATCATGTAAACTTAAGTTTTGTCGACTTGCAAAACGTTACAGCAGTTACACCGGTTTCATAGCACATAGACGCGCGTATTTTATCGGCGTCACTGTTAAACAACCGGGATTTACACGGGGAGCAGAGCAGCGTGAGAGGCGCGCGGGAATCCTTTTCTGCGTGTATGCGTCAGTTTGATTTCACCAGCGTTGTGTCGGTTGCACATAGAGTAAAAAGCTTGCGCATCCAAAAGACACTTAAAGTGAATGGACCCTGGCGTCTTTATTCACTCTGAATCAGTACACTTTCATGAAGTAAATGGTAACTTATCTCAAAGTTTTTACTGGGGCTAGCTTTTTTTTTCTCTCCCTGTCACTCCGTGCCGCCCTGGGGGATCACCCATTTTGGCCATGCCTAAATCCGCCACTCTCTTCTCGACAGCAAAACACATTTTTTACAAAGTGAAACAAAAGATGATTAGGTAGTTCGTTCACATCGTCGAATAAGTTTTTAAAACAGCGCACAATACAGTCACGTTTGAAAATGGATAAGCTAACTTGAGTTAGGCGCCAATCTCGCTACATGCTGTCTCTAACGACAGAAAAACGAAACCGCTAGAGCAAAACACCTTGCTGTCATAAAATATCGAACATTCCAAAATATTTTTTATACATGTAAGTTATAACAATGCGCTTTTACCTACCTCACAACGAAGAGCATTCCTCCAATTCCCTCGTGCTGCTCGGCAGGGTCGTCTAATGGCGCTCTAGCTAAACATTTAACTCCAGTTGTGACGTTAAAGCAGGCTCCTGAACACCAGCGAATGAACTCCAAAATAAAACTCACCAAAAAGTATCCCATAACACACGAGTGTGTAGAAGTTTAAAAATAAACTCCAAAAATGTAACTCTTTCACACTTTTTTGACTAACTCCTAATTTTTCAACTCCAGAAATTTGCTGTGCAGACAGGCTGGTCTGAGTATTTCAGAGACTGCTGATCTATTAGGATTTTCACGCACAACCATCTCAAGGGTTTACAGAGAATAGTCTGAAAAAGAGAAAATACCCAGTGAGTGGCAGTTTTGTTTGCGCAAATGCCTTGTTGATGACAGAGGTCAGAGCAGAATGGCCAGACTAGTTCGAGCTGATATAAAGGCAACAGTAACTCAAATAACCTCTCATTACCACTAAGGTATGCAGAATATCATCAACACCTCAAACCTTGAGGCGGATGGGCTACAGCAGCAGAAGACCATACTGGGTGCAACTTAAACAATAGAAGATTGGAAGTACATTTCCTGGTCTAATGATTCTCGATTTCTGCTGCAGCATTCAGATAGCAGGGTCAGAATTTGGCATCAACAACATGAAAGCATGGATCCATCCTGCCTTGTATCAACGGTTTAGGCTGTTGGTGGAGGTGTAATGGTGTGAGAGATATTTTCTTGGTACACTTTGGGCCCATTAGTACCAATTGAGCATTGTGTCAACGCCAGAGCCAACCTGAGTATTGTTGCTGATCATGTCCTTCCCTTTATGACCACAGTGAACCCTTATTCTGATGGCTACTTCCATACAAAGCATTTTCTAGGCCCAATACTTGTGCTAGATGGGTGTGCCACTGCCAGGGAATGCCAGAATAACTCTAGCATTCCTCTGGGCACTGTGCAAGACTTGTATCTGTCATTCCTAAGACGAATTGATGCTGTATTAGCTGCAAAAGAAGCCCTTAAACCACACTAACGAATTATTGTGGTCTAAAAATAAGTGATTCAGTTTAATTGCCTAACCCCTGTATTTGTGTAATTTAGCATCGTGTGTGTGTTTGTGTGTGTGTGTGTGTGTCTATGTAATTAATGTAAATTAGCAGTAAATTAATTAGTTAATTAGCAGTAAATTAAGTTATTAAAATGTAAAGCACTTACTTTTGCTTCTCTTAAACCTAATTCTGCCATACCATGTGGGTACATAACTTTTTTTCCTTCCAGAAATAGTGCTAAATCAAACAGTTCTAAATGTCAGTTTGTTAAATCCATTAAAACATATTTAACACATCACAAGAATCAGTGCCTTAACGTTTACTCTCCATCTCAATACTGCTGAAATGTGCTGATCAGTAGCGCATTTTCATCTGGATCAGGTACTAGAATTATGATTATATTACATGATACATTTTATTTGGTTCGGTTAAATACCAGTATAATGTACAAGCCCAGGTTTATATCGATTGTGCAGAGCTAATCTTGCAAATGCAGAATGCACTGCCCTTTTATTGCAAAGCTGTCTGCAAGAAACAGAAAAGGTGGTCTTGCCCCAGTTTTAGACTTCTAGGAAATTCTTCTGAGCTCTAAATGATCTTTTCTTATATCTGTGCCTCCTGGCTCTAACAGACAGACAAAAGTAAAAACAGTTGGCTATATCACTGCGGTGGCAGAGATAAATACTCCAGTACATCAGCAGTGGCTCTACGACTGAGGAAAATTCCATTGTAACAAGATGAAATTGAATGGAAATCACAGCATTGGGATTTTAATATAGCATTAATTTCAGCGAATGTGAAATACAGCAAAAGGTGAAGGGGATAGATGGCAAGTTTCTTTTAAATAAGGTCAGGTTTTTACAGGATGGTGTACATTACTTGAACTTTGAGGATCATGCTGCTGAATTTGACAATTCACAGGGCTTGAAATTAACTTTTTTACTTGGTAGCACCAGCGCTCCCAACTTTAAATATTTAGGAGCACCAAAAAAAATTTAGGAGCACCCACCAAAAATGAAGGAACACCGCTGCAAATTGTATTTTAAGGGATTTATTGTGTTTAAAAAACAACATCAATTAGCACTAACAAAAACCAGAAACAGCCATCTAACTAATGCTGTGATGACTTAATATTTGCGCAATAATTTCAAAATAAATGTCTAATAATTATAAAGTATTAATGATGATGATGTGAGTAATACCAACAATGAATTACTTTTCTCATTATCATGCTGCCTCGACTGTATTTGAGTGTGAGTTATCTGCTATAAAATGTCCTACTGTTACTTTATGAAAAATAAATTGATGGTTTGCATCAAACACAAATGAAGCATTGCAGTGAGAAATATTTATTTTGTACTATTGTTTTTAAATGCATGTCAGTTTAATAAATATTATTTCTGCTACAAAACAAACAAAAGATTATAATAATCATTCAATTTAAGGCTGAAAGCTGAAAAACGGTCATCAGTAATTAAACAGAAAAATAATATACATCTCAAGAAAGGATGGACAAAAGAAGGGAAGAAAAGTCTCACTTTTAAAAGTTTGGTTTCGGTTTGTGTCATTTTAATGCTTAGTCTCATTATGCGCTGATTTTCTATTTTCTGTGTTTGGGGAAAGCAGTCGAGTCAGCTGACCCAATATATGAGGGGTCAGACAAAGCAGGATTCTCCAGATGACCACTGGCGCAATACTGTTCTTTATTTAAGCCGCTTTAGTTTAAACTTAGTAAAGTTGAGCTTCTTTGGCGATGGTGTGTACAGTGTTAGATTTTACATTTAGCGGACATTTGTGCTGAACACGCAGTGAATGCAATGCATCGAGAATCGGTGTACTTTTCACTCTTCAGTCGTTTGCATTTCCCGTGTTCACAAAAGCTCCCTGTCATCTGACAGCGGAAAGTCTTGAGTGATTGACAGCTAAAATGACCCAATATAGTAGCAGGGAAGACCTATTTTTAGCACGTTTTTAGAAAAAAACAAAACAGGTCGCACTACAACCATTAAATGCAGTCGCACAAATGCTCTTAAATATATTATGAGGTCGCATAGCTTAAATTCCGGGCGCATATGTGACGAAAATGGTCACAATTTCGAACCCTGATTCATGATTTGAATTACAAAGGTCTGAAGCTTGATTTGGTGAATCAGAAATGTTATTAATTTTTTACTAATAAAGTTTTTGTAATATTTTTTTTTAAGAGCAAATCTAAGCACACTGACTGGAACAAAAATAAAGCATTTTCTATAAAAACTAGATGCTTAGAATCATTAGAGTCATAACCTCTGCATTTTATTATTATAGGAACTATGTTAGATATATTAGAAACCTAAACAAACAAACATATAACAGATTTCTTCTGACATAAAATAGTTTGACACACTAAAGAAGAACAGTTTGATCCCCTAGTGCCAAAAGATAAAAAAGACAGTGAATATCTGTAGTTGCTACATTTTTACACAAATGTTCAAACCTGTCAACACATTTTATTCTTTAATATTTACAAGAAATTCCAAAAACAAATGAAAAAAAGAGAAAATTGATTAGATAAAATAGATAATAGACACTGAAAACTCATCTAATGACTATTTCAACTTGAGCTTTGCCATCTAAAATAACAAAAAAAAAAAGAAAAAGAAAAAAAAATACATGTTTTATTAACTAAAAGAATTGTGACCTTTCATGGTGAGCATAAGATAAAAACATACTGGCAAATGTTGTTAAAAACATCTAACATCTCAGCAACTTTTAAGTGGTATAATATTAATAATAAAAATAATATATATTATTACTATATAATATTAAACAAGGACACATTCAAAGTAGTCCTTGTAATAAAATGGGAA